ACACAGACACTAATCGTTACTTGATTTTAATCCGTGCGATTAGTTAACCAGGCTAGACCTGAGTTCTCACAAGAAACACCGACCATAATAATAATAACGTTTATTGCGTACAGAAAATATACACAAAAGGAGGAAATTCGGTAAAAACCGTTCTTCCATTTCCCCTTAAAATAAAAGTTTACATTTTCTCGTTCCTAAATTGCGGAGGTATATAATTACAATAAGTAGGTAGGTATACATCTAAAATATAAATCATACAAAAAGTGTAACATGGTTAATTGAAAAATAACAGTATGCAAAAACAAAAATTGAACTACAAAAATTAATCCTCATAATAATAATAATAATAATAATAACTACATTTCCTTCCAGGTGAGATTTCTAACGAATTCTTTACTGAATTTTTTGAAAGTCGACGGTGGCATTTCAATTTTACTTAATATACTAAATTTAAGAGATATGATGCTAAATACTCAAACGACCCTTCATATTTTACGGTTGCATGTTGTGGAAGTGTAAAGCTATTTATTCTTATATTAATATTGTGCATTTCTGATCTTCTTATTAACAAATTATATAAGTATGGTGGTTCTTGAGTATGATAAATCTTATGTAATATGACTAAGCTTAAGTAAGTAATTCTTTCAAACATGGTATGTTCATTAAGCATAACCAAAAAAGGTGTAACGTGATGACGATAAGGTATATTACAAACAAACCTCATGCATGCGTTCTGAATCCTTTGGATTTTATTTTTGCTGTATGCATATGAGAAGTAGTAGTAAACCGTACAGCAATAGTCTACGTGGGGATAAACTAGCGCCTTGACAAGTTTAAGTTTAGTATCCTGTGAAAGCTTATCTTTAAGATGGTATAAAGACTTCAATTTAAAAAAAGTAATTTTATAAACCTGATCGACATGCTTATCAAAACTTAATCTACTGTCCATGATTACACCTAAATTTTTTATGCATTCTGTCCAGCGAATGTAGATACCATCCATTGACAAGCTACTATTGCAGATTAAGCTTCTCTGCTGTTGTGAGCCTATACACACAGCTACGGTTTTAGTTGCATTTAGCCTTAGTCCATTCCTTGTACACCACTTTGAGACACTATCCAAATCCGCATTTAATAACTTTATTGTTCCTTCGATATCTCGCACTGAGCATGACTTATATATTTGTATGTCATCTGCATACAAA